GTCTGGGGCAGAGCAGATGGGGTGCTGCTGGGTTGGTCCAGTAGCACCCCAGCTGCTCTGCCCCAGGCGTCCCCAAGTCAGCTTCTGCTGAAACTGACCAGCGCTGACTACAGGAAGCCCCAGGCAGAGTTGCTCTGCCCCGGGCTTCCTGGAATCAGCTGCTGATCAGTTTCAGCAGCAGCTGACTTGGGGACGCCTGGGGTTCTTAAGTTGATTCTGTATGTAAGTCAGAACTGGCGGTCAGTTTCAGCAGTGTCTGAATCTGGACGCCAGTTCCGACTTACATACAGATTCAACTTAAGAACAAACCTACAGTCCCTATCTTGTAGTTGCTCTGCCCCGGGCTTCCTGGAATCAGCTGCTGATCAGTTTCAGCAGCAGCTGACTTGGGGACGCCTGGGGTTCTTAAGTTGATTCTGTATGTAAGTCAGAACTGGCGGTCAGTTTCAGCAGTGTCTGAATCTGGACGCCAGTTCCGACTTACATACAGATTCAACTTAAGAACAAACCTACAGTCCCTATCTTGTACGTAACCCGGGGACTGCCTGTAGTTGTATTTGAAAATGCTGCCACAGTGCATCATGGGAGTTGAAGTTCAGATGCCTTATGCTTCCATTTTTCTCTATAGGTCAGACTCCCTAGTTAGACTACATCTCCTATGATGCACCTTGGCCTGTCTTGTTGGAGAGGGTGCATTTTGTTGCTTCCTGGGAGTCCTTGGCAATGGCACATGAGACAACTGAACTGAATTACAGTTACAGCAGCATATCCAAATTGAAATAGTTTGTTTTTCAAGTATTTGGTCTTTCAACAAAAACAAAAATCAAAATTTTCCATGGGAGAGGAAATATTTTTAGCATAACAAAGATGATGAAAAATTTAATCAAACCTATTATATACAGTTTTGACAAGCCCTTGTCTCTACACCTCTTTGGTTTATGCTGTAAAGCTAGTAAAATGACCAAGTACATTTTATATTCAGTACATGCCAGGAAAACAAAAATTGATAAAGGAGATCCAGGAAAGTGTGAGACTGCTGCGCCGTGCAGGAAAGAAATGCATTGAGCAGAGGCGAGAGGCCATCCAGAATGGGGAGGAAGCCCCACAAGATATTCTGACTCAGATCCTGAAAGGTAGGAGATTCAACATTCTCTGATTTCAGTATTCTGTAATTGTTTGCCACAGCTAAACACTGGATCCAAATACACCCAAAATGTGGGGATTCACTTCTGGATCTGAACTTTGAGGCTCAGTTCTCCAACATGTTCAGTCAGTGCTCCTTTCAAGCTGAAGACCTGAACAAGGATTTGTTTACAACTGGGACTTTGTCCTGGAGATTTTCTCCTTTCCGAGTTTAACATAATCCTCTTTGTTCATTTGAGATCAGAACTTGGTCACAGGCCATCACTGAGTTCCCCTTCCTTCTAGCCTCCTCGCTTTTCATGTCCCCAAAATGTGATTAAAAGGGCAAAGTGAACTTTTATAACTATTTTGTTTCCTATCTCAGGAGCTCAGGAAGAGACTAGAGATGATGAAAATATTCTGGATAACTTTGTCACTTTCTTCGTTGCTGGTTTGTAGTTACTTTATTACTCTGACAAATCATGTAGAAAGCTATTGAAAAGAATACATATTCTCTGAGGGATCTACAATTAGAGTTACTAAAGGCTTGATTCTCTCTTTCACTTAGGTGTAGACTCTGGAGTAACTCTATTGTAAGTTATAGTGGTATAATACCAATTTGGGTGAGATCGGGAGTGCTAACCTCTGGCCTTTCGCCTGCTGTGCCTTGTAAAGGTGCAGATAGGTGTCTCTGTGCTCTGCCCCCATCCCTTCTGAGTGCTGACTGTGGAGTGGCACCTGCGGGTGGGGAGCAGCGTGCAGAGCCACCGGGCCACGCATCTACTAGGAACACCATGCTCAGAGAGCCACTTTCAGGGAGCCATTCAAGGTGAACACTGCTTGGGTCAGGTACCCTGAGCACCCCCCCATCCCTCACCCAAACTCCATCCTACGACCAGGTACACTATATAAGAATTGTATGCACAACATAAAAATGGGTCACTAAAGAAAAACTGCAGTATGTCAAATGTGCTGTGTAAACATGTGTTAAGAGTTTGCTATATGATAAAAGGTTTAAAAACCTGACCTGTAGTTTTTAAAAAAATGAGTGTGTTTATTCTTGAGAAGGAAAAACTGAGGGAGGGACCTGATCATTCGCAGAAATGTTAAGGACTGTTGTAAAGAAGATGGGATCAGTTGTTCTACATATTCACTAAAAGTAGGACAAAAAAATGTTTGATCTGCAGCTTAATCTGCTTGTTGAGGGTCTTATATGCATATCTCAACATTTGTATGGTTTCATTCGTTTGGTGCCAAGCACAGCGTTAAAGTAATTTTTTAAGAGGCCTCGATCTGACGTGGTTTTCTGGTCAGTTGTATTGCTGCACTTGATTATGTATAGAATAGTAATTTGTTTCAACAAATTCTCAATATTTTTAGGTCATGAAACAACTTCTAATCAGTTATCATTTACAATAATGGAACTGGGGCGGCAACCTGAAATAGTAGAAAGGTATGTATAGTACATGCCTAGTTTGCAAGGTCAGCCTCTCACATTTCAGGGTGTTTATGTTGTCCTCCATCCAGCCTTTATTCATAATTAGGGGCATGTCTACACTTGCTCCCTATCTAGAGATAAGGATGCAAATATAGTGCACCGAAATTACTAATGAAGCGCAGGATTTAAATATCTCACACTTAATTAGCATAATCGGGTCCGGGCGCCATTTTGAAATCATGTTATTGCTAAATAAATTGCCCCGTGTAGCAGCATTATTTTGAGAGAAAACCCTTCTCTCGAAATAACTGGTAGACCTCATACAATGGTAACCCTAAAAAAAACCCACTGTGATTTCAAAATGGCACCCAGACTCGATTATGCTAATTAAGCACGGGATATTTAAATCCCACGCTTCATTAGAAATGTCGGTACACTACATTTGCATCCCTACATTTGCATCCCTATCTTGAGACAGGGGGCAAATGTACATGTACCCTCACAGATTTACCTGGCATTGCTCGGGTCCCTTAACCTGGAGTGAAAGTACTGTCCTATCACAACCTGCCCCCATTTGGGGGGAGGCTAAGGGTCGGAGTGGGAGGGAGATGTTTGGCCATACAACAATACCTATAAGAAATTTAAGGATGGGGTGGACTACAGGGGTCTCAGGGCAGACAGTTCTGGTGAGTGGTTTGTGCAGGAGTTATGGCTGGAAATAGGAATCATGAGTCAGGGTTGGGTATATGAGGGGCTCAGCACATGGGGCGGAGGGTGGGTGTGCAGGAGTCAAGGTTGGAGTGTATGAGGGGCTCAAGGCAGGTGTTATGAGAACGAGGCTCAGGGCAGAGGGTTGGAGTGTGGGAAGTGTAGGAGTTAGAGCTGGGGAGGGGTATTCAGGAGTCAAGGTTGGGGTGTATGAGGAGGGGGCTCAGGGCAGGGGGTTTGGGTGTGGGGGGTGCAGAAGGAAGGGCTGAGGACGGGGTTGCAGGAGTCAAAGTTAAGGTGTATGAGAAGATCGCTCAAGGCAGAGAGCTGGGTGAGTACAGAGAGGGGCAAGGGAGACATTTTGGGCAAGGGGGCTGCAGCTGCACTTACCCTGGTCACTGAATGTTTCTTTTTGCTGACTAGGGAGTGAAGGCAAAGTTTACAACATGTGTGCCTTCCTCCTCTGCTCTCCCCTAGGCAGCCAGGAACAAGAGCAGGCTGTGAACTTTGCCCCTCTCTCTAATCAGCAAAAAAGAAAAAACAGAACACTCAGCGACCAGGGCTAAGTGCAGTTATTTAAGTGATTTATTTAGAAGCCTTTGTACAAAGCAGGTTTTATCTACAGATGAAATGTATGCCATCTGATTGCATTGTACTTGATACATATTACTGTGGCCCTGATCCTGGAGTATGTGCTTAGGCAGTCAGCCTTTGGAATCGGTAGACATTTAATCTGAAGGAGGAAAACAGCATTAGGCTTAATACTTGGACAGTTTAAAAAAAAAGAACAACCCAAAACACAAACAAACAAAAAAAACCCTGTTCTTCTGGCTTAGCAAGAAATGTGTGTTGATAACTACAGCCTCTCCTTCATTACACCTCTAGACTTCAAGCAGAAGTGGATGAGGTTATTGGAGCCAAAAGGGACATTGACTATGAAGATCTTGGGAAGCTTGAGTACTTGTCCCAGGTACAGTAGAAGAACAAGACCACAGGGACTTGTTTTGCAGCACTTTTGCCTTATCACAGCATGGCCATTAGGGGCTCTGAACTAGCTTAATTGTATACAGGCAACAGCAACAATTCATTCTGATAGTGTTTGTCCTCTGATAAATACTGAGGTATTTTGAGCCTGGAGGGAGGTAGCATAATTTGGGGAGAAAAGATGTTCTTGAGTTTTCATTCTGAAGTGGCACACAAATCCTTGCCTGCTTAATTTAATTATCACAGCACAGAACTAGGTTTCTCACTCACAATATGTTTCAGGTGACTCTCTGCCCTTCTTTTGACAACATGGGTTTATAGCTCAGAGAGTCTGACTTGGGGTGACTGACCAAGTTTTAGACACTGAGCTCCTACTTGATTGATCGTATACGGTTCTTTTTAGCACTGTAGCATGAACTCACATACCCAGTGGAGATGACCTGGGTTCTTAGGCACTTTCTACACTACGCAGAAGATCAATGCTGCCATAGTCAATCTTCTGGATTCGATTTAGCAGGTCTTCTCTTGACCCACTAAATTAAACCTGGAGGGTGACGCTGTTTGCGCCAGTACTCCTGCTCCTCGTAAGGAGTAAGGGAAGCCAATGGGAGTGTTTGTGCTCATTGGCCTCCCGCTGTGTGGACAGTGTGAAACTCAGTTTAAGATAAAATGACTTCAGCTACGTAATTAACATAGCTGACCTTGCGTATCTTAATTTGACCTTCTGCTGTAGTGTAGACCAGGCCTTAGTCTTGCTGCTGTGGGTTTTTTGTTTTGTTTTGGTTTTTTTAATTATGTTCATTGTGGTCTCCTTACATGTAAGACACTAACAAGAGCAGAAGGATATGTGTTTAGCTATACTGTTTCCTTAGCCAGCAACTTCTCTAATTTCACCCCCCTGATTAATTACCTGATTGTAAAGTTCATGGGGGGAAGAATTCCTGACATTTCCCTTTCTACCATGTTGTAATAATTCACTCTTTGTTACTCTGACACAGGTTCTCAAAGAATCCCTCCGATTATACCCTCCCGTTCCAGGGACTGTACGTTGGACAGCAAAGGAAAATGTCATTGAAGGTGTCAGAATTCCAGCAAACACTTCTCTGTTTGTGAGTTTGGTGACTGCATCCAAAACCCAGGAGGCTGTAGGTCTGCACACGCAATGGAGTCAGACACTGTAAAGCCAGAATTCTCTGCTGGCATAGATCATTGACTTTGGGAGAGTTATGGCAAAGTGTGAATGGGGCTAGTGTGTGGTAGTCCAGCAGGGGTGGTGCAAAGTGTTTGAGTAGAGAGAAGCAGAAATATTTTTGTACCCATGAGCCATCAGAGAGGCTTTGGCAGTGTGCATCTCATAAGTAATACAAACACACATTTTATTGGCAGTTCAGCACGTATATCATGGGAAGGCTGGAAAAGTTTTTCAAGGATCCGCTGACTTTTAATCCGGACCGATTTAGAAAAGATACACCAAAGTGAGTATATTTTACTACCATGTTACCAGAACTTCCTGAGTAACTATTATGAAAAGAGCTTTAATAGAAAAGATATGAGATTATTATACAGCCTCTTTCCGACTTACGAACTGGTTACGGACCAAGCAATTGGTCATAACTCGGTTTGTTCGTAAGTCGGACCCCATAGAATTACGCACGACCGTGCTGTTCATAAGAGCGGATCGCGTTCGTAACTCGGGGTCCACCATTTATGACAGCTTCGGTCGTAACTGCTAACGGTCGTAAGTTGACCGTTCGCAACTCGTGGTCTGGCTATAGTATTTTGCTCAAATGTGAATCCAATTGTTGTTGTTAATAATAATTTTGTAGTATATAGCAGGTTTTTATCTGCAGATCTCAAAGCACTTTACAAAAGAGGTTGTTGTTGTTGTTGTTATTGATATTGTTAACATTTAGACTGGAGAAGCACCCTAAAGCTAAATCAGAATCGGGTCCATTTCACTGGGCACTGTCCAAATATATAATAAATGACAGTTCCTGCCCCCAGGAGTTGACAGTATTTTTTTAATGAGGAGTAACGTTAGTTCAATCCAAGGGGTTTGGTTCGAACTAACGCGTCCCAGCGTGCACTTTAACTTTCGAAACAGCTGTTAAGCAGAGTAATGCGCTGGTGAGTTCATGCTAATGAAGCGCGGGATATTTAAATTCCTGCTTCATTAGCAATTTTGGTCACTTATATTTGCATCCCTAGTTCGAACTAGGGTGCAAGTGTAGACGTACTCTCAGAGATGTAAAGAAATTATTCCTAAGCAATTGAAATGATAGTTTTGATGACATGTTTGTTTTATAAACCAGCTCATCCCAGTGTAGCCATCAATATAAATGTTGTAATTTTTTTTCTTTGTAGGCCATATTTTACCTATTTTCCATTTTCTTTGGGACCTCGTTCCTGTATTGGACAGATATTTGCACAGGTAGGCAGACTGCTGAAGTTTTGGTGTGTCCCAGCTTTTTCATAGATTTCAAGGCCAGAAGGCACCAGTGTCATCATCTAGTCTGACCTGTGGTATAACACAGACCGTAGAACTTCCCCCGAAATAGTTCCTAGCACAGGTCTGTTAGAAAACGTTCCAGTCTTGATTTAAGAATTCTCCGTGATAGAGAATCTACCATGGCCCCTGGTAACATGTTCCAGTGGTTAATCACATTCTCCATGACAAATTTCTGTCTTTCCAATCTAAATTTGTCTAGCTTCAACTTCCAGCTATTGGATTATGTCATCCTTTTCTCCAATAGCGAGAAGAGCCCATTAATAAATGTTTGCTCCTGGTACAGTCAGATCACCTGTTAAACTTCTCTTCGTTAAGCTGAACACCTTTTAACTGTTGCTTCATTGGTACCTGCTGTGCCATGTTGCTGAAGCAATAGGCATTCAGAGGCTCAAAGGCCTAGAGACAAAACTACTGACCTGGCCTCTTCCCCTTAGAGGTGGGATGCCCGGATCTGTCCTGCTGCATGTTTGTGAAAACTGGCCTTGCTGTTGCCTGCTCTATAGCTCTTGTGTGGAATCTTCTGTTTCTCCAGTCTCCCATGCTTCTAATCCAACACATTTCAGGAGAATTAACTCCACTTTAAATCTCTCTGGGGGTAGCTGTGTTAGTCTATAACTAAAAAAACTTAAAAAACAACAATAGTCCTGTAGCACCTTAGAGACTAACAAAAAATATATAAGCTTCAGGGGGTAGCCAAGTTAGTCTATTACAGAAAAATACAACAAATAGTCTGGTAGCACTTTATAGACTAAGAAAACATGTAGATGGTATCATGAGCTTTCGTGGGCACAGCCCACTTCTTCAGATGAGTTATGAGTTTAGGATGTGCAGAACCAAAATAAATTGGAGAGAAGGGGAGTGGAGAAGGGGGAAAAATGGGGAGGAGAGTGGCAGACAGGGAACTTAGAGGGAATCAGTAAGTATCTGAAGATTGGGTAATTAAAACGAAGCAGATAAGAATCAAAGTCAATTGATAGTATCCTTCCTGACATAGGGGACTACACAAAACTGTTTGCAGCTTTAACGACTATTAAGTTGATCGTGCCCCAACCATCCTTCATCACGATTGAGTCCATTAGCATGTGAATTGAATTTGCGGATGAACTCTAATTCCTATGCTTCTCTGTGGATCTGGCTAGTAGAACTGGTTTGTGACAAGACAGCTACTTAAAGATCTTTTAAACAGTGATTCGGAAGTTTGAAGTATTCCCCAGTAGAATTCTGCATGTATATAGATAGCATCAAAAGCGTTCATGGAGGAAAAAAAACCCTGTCAATTATAGTGTCCATGCTAAATGAGGCTAATAGAGTAGGCTGTAAGTATCCGATATGTAGCTTTTGATGTCATTTGGGGGTTGAATGTAATGACCCAACCAGTTCCTGTCTTTGTTTAAGCTGTGTTAACCTTTTAAACAGGATTTTACATCCCTAATGGGTATGTACCCTAACCCAGCAGCTACTGAAGGCATAGAGGCCAATGAGTTTGGGGGCCCTGTGGGAATTACTACCACAGATGGAATGATCAAGCCATCACAGACATAAA